GAGATATTAAAAATGGATTACTCGAAACTCTAATGTCCGTATTCACAATCGAGGATCGAGATTTGTTAGAAGTTTACTTTTTCAGGATCGAGTTAAAAACTCTTGATCATCGATTATGAATACGGCTGTAAAAACAAAGAACTTAAATTACAGAAAACCTCAAATACAGTATATTCTCGCTTGGATCGACTTCGTTTAGTATCAACAGTTTTTGGAATCCCAACAGAAATCTATGCTCTAATGTACTATACAGTACCGAACTCCTATGGAAAACTTGGTTAACCGTTACATTAACGTTTTCCTAATTCGAAATACACATCTAATTTACTAAAGAACATCGGTGAACACCGATATCCTCTCTCTTACTGTCAGAATTAATACTTTCATAAAATTTTAACAAAATACAAGTGAATTTAGCCGATTTATGCATTCAAAATTTTAGCAATATTTTTGTTTAGATTCTAAACAAAAAAAGAGATGGAACGTTCTAAACTTTTAAGCACGGTTTTCACTTATAGTATGTATGTAAGCAAGTCGATAATTTTAAAGTTATTCCATAAACTTACAATTGATTAATTAAAAATTTGCATTAGAGTTTATTTCGAAATTCTTCTGGCATCNCCTTTTTCGTAATAAAGTTTTAATATTTATTACTATAATCTAGACATGTTAATCCTTAAATATACAAGTATATTTAAGGATTAGGTCGCAAATATATTATATATACTTGTGGCCCAAAACGCCATGACTCCTTCTAATGTGGCCCAGAGGAACAAAAAGGTTGGACACCCCTAGTCTATAATGAATTGATCGAGTGATTCAAGAAAATCGATTACAACAATTTGGTCGAGCCTGCTCATAAATTATAATTTATCATCTAGAACAGTGTTTTTCAACCTTCTTGAATACGCGACCCCTTTACAAGTTAAAAAATTCTGGCGACCCCCTAGGGCCATATTAAAACTATATCAGTGATTTTAAAAACTATGTATTTAATTTTCTTTCTGTTGAGACAAATTATTGTTGATTAAAATGACAATTTCAGATTTTTTTTCTTTTTTTTTAGGTTCTGAATTTTCAGTTTCTACTTTTCTACTTTTTATTTTATTTTTGCAAATCAGTTCAATACTTTTTCCGCTATCATTTTCTGGGTGGGCCGTAATTCTCGATGAAATTGTAGTTTTTTTTAATGTAGTGTAAATGTAGTGTTCATTTACGATAGTAAATGAATTTTAATGTAGTGTAGGATCTACAAACACTTGTCTTTTTCTTCTACCCACGACCCCCCGTGTAAGGCTTCGCGACCCCCAGGGGGGTCGCGACACACAGGTTGAAAAACACTGATCTAGAATAACAAGTATACAGATCTGTAGATGATTTTAACCGTTATTAATTAAAATATAAGTCGATTAGCCGACTTTTGAGCCACTTTGTATAAATAATTAAATATGTGTATATACACGCACATTTATTTATTTATACAAGGTGACCAAAAGTCGGCCAATCAACTTATATTTTAATTAATAACGGTTAAAATCATCTACAGATCTGTATACTTGTTATTCTACATCAGCGATGGCAAACCTTTCTGACCTCACATACCACTAAACATACAATTTTGAATCCCGCTGATCAGTATCATCAATTTTTTAAACGACACAAACATCTATAGCAGGGGTGTCCAACCTTTTTGTTCCTCTGGGCCACATTAGAAGGAGTCATGGCGTTTTGGGCCACAAGTATATATAATATATTTGCGACCTAATCCTTAAATATACTTGTATATTTAAGGATTAACATGTCTAGATTATAGTAATAAATATTAAAACTTTATTACGAAAAAGGATATTTTAAAAAATTACTTTTACACTTTCAATTTTTACTTAGAAATAGATAAATTCATTTAGCCTATTATAAAGGAGACAAACAAAAATTTATTTGAAAAACACAAATATTTGTTTTATTTCGATCTCTAATTAATAAAAAAAAACGACGAAACACCATTTTAAAGTGCATTTTTATTCGACTAATATATTTATAAATAATATGTAGTCCAGTAAGTAATCAATGCGCCAAACTAAAAAATATAGCCAAATCTTGCAATGCTGGAAGGAATACTAAATAATGTTGGAGTGGAAACTCAAAGGATTATAGACCCAAATTTGAGAAAAGAAGAGAAAGGCCAAAAGATAAAAAGTAGTAAGGAAGGTTGAAAAATTAAGGGTAAATATTTGCATAACAGAAGGTCTATTTAACCTTTCTCACTACTTTTTATCTTTTGGCCTTTCTCTTTTTTTTTCAAATTTGGGTCTATAATCCTTTGAGTCACAACTCCAGCTTTATATAGTATTCCTTCGTCATTAATACATTTCCAAGTATTTGAAAATATTTCCTTTTCACTCAAAAATATGTATAAAAGTTTACGGCTTTGTGAAACTTCTTTTTTGAGTTTATGCCGTTGAAATAAAAAAATAAATAAAATAAAACAATTTGTCGGTTTTGTTTACACGTTTATTGGGCCGCATTCGAACTTGCCCTGGGCCGCATGCGGCCCGCGGGCCGCGGGTTGGACACCCCTGATCTATAGATTAATGATCGCAAAAGTTCCATTTTACTTTATTAATATGAAAGTCAATTGTTTAATTATAACAAATTAGTTTAATGTTTGTTGCTGCTTGATAGAAATAAATTTATGGATTCTTCGCTCGTTTCCGCTAAGAATGACAATCACACTCACATTATTTATTGTCGATTATTTATTGATTTATTGTCATTATTACTTATTGATAACAGTCATTTCGTTTTTGATTCTAGATTCGAATAAAACCTCCCCAATGAGTGAGAAAAGCAACCAATCATTTTGAATTTGTTTCGTAATACTTCGCGTAACCTTCAGTTCATCAATGTCCAAATTTCTACACGGACCACCGGCTGGCGATCGCTGTTCGAGACGATAATTTATAGCAAGCTCGATCAACTTGTATTGGTTGTGATCGACTTTCTTGAATCACTCGATCAATTTATTATAGACTTTCGTGAATCAAAAGTACCATTGATCTACAATCACATTTCCGTTCTAAGTTGTAAAGTTTATTAATTGATTTTTTAAATATTTCTTTCGTTTCTTTTATCCTATTTTGCGTTAAATTCGTTTGATTTAACCTACCAGTAGATAGGAATCATAGGAATTTGCAGCTCGATAAAATATTGATTCCGTGTGCTATAAAGAAAATAGATAGAGATAACAAGTCTGACATGTTTACAAAGGTATAACATGTGAATAATATCATAAAACTTAAAAAATCGGAAAGGAAGAGGCTTATTTTATATTGATTCTAGAGATAAATAAGAATATAACATTTCGTAAAGGAAAAACAATCGATTATTCACTCAAAAAATCTGGTAACATTGCTAGACTTTCCCGGAATTTTTTGTTTTCATTCCTAATAATTGCTATCATTATCTTTAAGTCTTCAGATGGTTCAGCAGATATTAAGTGAATGGGGCCATATCTTCCGAACCAATGGTACTATTTTCCTGAAAATTTCTATAAACATTTCTCCCTAATACACAAATCGCCCTGAAAAATTTCCGAAATGTTCAATAAAAGACACAAGAGTTATTAAAGTTTAAAGTGGGCGAAAGAGTCGTGTCCCCACACACTAGCATCCATAGATTTCAAGCTCCCGAATTTAAAAATGTAAAAAACCTTGCTGTTACATACGTGGGAAGGTAAAAATAAATTTTTATTTATAATTTATTTTTTTAATTTCTTAGGTTATATAAAAATAAAACTTTAGAATATATTTCTAAATCAATATCCTGTCCCAAACTGCACATCAGACCATCATCACAGATCATTGATTTTGGTAATGAGTATCCTGCGACTAATGTATACTTTTATAAAAACGATAGTTTTCTTTGAATGTTTAATCATTTGCCGTTTTATAAAAAAAATTCTTATATTTATAAGTATTTTTTACGTTTAAAAATATTCGAATTTCATAAGTTATATTGAGAACGGCGTAGATTCAATCAAATCTGCGGAAAATGCATGATTAATGTTAAAGATATTAAATGGATTGAATATGCAAATTAATTTACATATTCAAATTTTATAATAATTTTAGACATTCTCGTAGAGTTTATTAACAAAATTTTCACCGAAGGATTGATTAATTTTGATTAAAAATAAAAATAATAATAAAATTTGTTTACTGTTTCCACTCTCTAGTTTCCTCCATTTTGCTTTTGTTTTACTTCAACGATTGTAAGTAAATTACAAATAATTTCGAAGAAATTTACAAGTATACTCTCGTGTAAATAGAAAATACACAAACAAATTTCTGTAGCAGAGAATTGGCAAATAACTTCANATTGATTAATTAAAAATTTGCATTAGAGTTTATTTCGAAATTCTTCTGGCATCTACATTGATTTTTATAGAAGTATCCGTAACTACCACGAAGAATAATCTGGCAATATGCATATTGCACGAAAATCCTGTTGTTTTTTTAAATATTGTATAGTAGTATTAAGGATTTTTAGATTTAAATCGTCAAAATCTAAATTAATAAGTATTACTTTGGACGCAATACAAAAGTTAAATGACGATTCTGGAGTTTTTTCATATTTTCAATTGGCCGAAAACTACAAAATTCTCAATTTATCCGAAAACAGAAATTGCAGTCCGAAGACGAAATATATAGTTTAATATTATCAATTTATTATCTATTATATATATATTATATATATAGTTTAATATTATCACTTTATTTAATATTATCGCAATATAACATTTTCTGCAATCACAATTATATAATACTATTTAATTAAGGTCAAATATCGGTTAACGTCAAAATTCAAAGGCTGTCCCCAGGATCCCGTTGCATTAAAATTACATTACAAGCTACAAAGACATAACTTAATGCAAATAGCTTGTTAGATTATAAGTAACTTTATAAAATCAAAATCGCTTACGACTAGTAACTCGTACTTACATAGATCCTTTCCGTACATCCAAGTCGATACCATTCAAAATTTTGACCCTGTTAGCCTTGATTCCGTAGGATACTTCTAAATCTTTAGCTTCGACAGCCGCTACACTTAGGTTAAGTGGCCTCACAGTCGCCATGTGTTTAGATTACATCAGAACTGACGGATCTTCGATCGAGCCTTTCGAATTACGACCGAGACGCGATCACTACACACACACACACACACACACACACACACACACAATTTTCTATTGGACAAATCTGAAATGTCGTAAGCAACTGGCAATTATTTCCACTTTTTAATTAAGCAAATCTTAAATGAAAACATCGAGTATAATAATATTACTTACATCCGATCAAATGTGATCAGCTTTTATAGTAACGGGATTTTATATAATCCGAAAAAGTTAAAATTTAATCTCAAAATTAAAATCGTTTGTTCTTGAGCGAGAAAGGTGGCTTTTAAAATATTCCCATTGCTTATTTCGGTAAATATACGAGATAATTATGTAGGTTAGCGATAATCAATGTTTAACAATAAGCAATCGATCCGTAAGCGAAACAGCCGATTCTCAATCGATCGATACGATTTATAAGATTCCAGGACGACGTCGTACGCAAATTACTCGCGCTTCGACTTACGTAAAAATACAAACGATCCACAAATCTATCTGGTGTGCATTCTTCCAAAATTTGGTACGTCGTACCCAATCCACTTTGATTTAGAATAAACGAGCAGTTATTTATTGTGAGATCGTCACAATGCCGGCTGCAATTTTAAATATTTTTAATTTATTGAATTTAAAATATATGCTTTCCACCTCAAATTACGGTAGGGTCTTACCCCTGTACAGTACCATCATATTTTTATGTTAGCAATACGTTTTACGTTGTGCCGGTCATCTATCCAATTCCTTTCGGAGAAACATTTTTGAATTGAAATAACCTAACTTCCGATTCAAACCGGAAGTTCATATACAATTAATCGGGCCTCCTGCCCCTAAGCTTTCCATATCTGATCTCGATTTTCATCTAACTAACTCCGTTCTCGAGATTAAGGAAGGACGGACGGACGACAGTGGAAATTCATAGGCACAATTTTCTTCAAATTGCAGTCCAATTCGTAATGTACTTTGACATTACGAATATACAGGGTAGCCTAAAATCAGTATTCCGTATTGCGTGCGTTTCAGACACTCGCATGCACGAAGTTGAGTTTAGAGGAGTGTTTTTCTTTTACAAAATAGGTAGAAACATAATTAATTATAATGTTTAACTGTTTTATGGGCCACACGGAATAATACGCATCGCAGATATCACGCGTGTAGGTGCAGACATATTGGTGCGAATTGAATTGACTGATAAGCCATAAGGAAACGCAATACGAAGGCGATCTGAGGAAATGGAATAGCCTCCCGAGGCTTCTCTACGAGAACAGTGCAAGACGGGAGAAGAAAATACGGAAAATTCCACGCGGCCAGCCCAGTGCTCGGGCACGAACGACGACGTCTGCAAAAATGCCACCATTTTACAAAAAGCGATTACATTTTCTTTATTCCACATTTTTTAAAAATACAGTTGTCCCTCTATAGTCCGACGTTTTTTAATCCAACATGCTCAGTAATCCGACGCACCTCCCGTCAAGGTACCCGTCCCCGTTACGTGTCTGCTTGCACAGAAGCATGTCGCGATGTGAACCTCCCCATCCAATTCTTACTCGATGACACACATTTCGTGTGTTTTATGTGAGCAGTTCTGTTCGAACAGTTGGAGTAGAGAATATTGTAAGTTACTGCTAGCAAAACAATGCGAAATATGTAATTATTTTCGGTAATCTGACACACCTTTGGTCCCATACCTGTCGGATTATCAAGGGACAACTGTATCTTCTACACGAGAAACGCGTTTCCCAATCGTATTTGAGAGCTGGCGTAGCGGAAGTGCTTCAAAGCCGTTTATAGAGATGACGATTTGCTGTCCACAAACATTAATTTTCAATAATTCAGACATTCGAAAACTTTTTAAAATTTTTTTTATTTAATCAAAATTTCCTATTATTAATAAGAAAAATTGATATTGTGTAGTAATAATAATATTAATAGTAAAAGCACAATTTTAATAGCTTTTTATTTTAATGTATTCACATTCGGATTTTAAAAATTTTTCGAACATTTTATTTTAAAATGTTTTCTTCTCTTGCTGTATAGCCTATATATTTTATATATATAAATTTATTAATCGTACACATTAATTTTTATTATTGTTATTATTATAGTAATATTTATATATTTACATATACATACTTTAATTGAATAAGTATATAATAGCACACATTAAAACACGAAAGAACAAGAAAATAAAACATAACATTTATAAATACAAAAAGGAAAAAGGTTTTGGCACTAGAGATTAAATAATTTTTTCCAATGGAAATATATAGCCTACCATCTGTAGAAGAAATCGCTAAAAACGCACACGATACGGTCCAAAAATCGGTTAACCGTGTACGGTGAATTCCTGGTACATTCGCGAATATGAATAATAAATCGAGTTTAGAACCTGTCGAACGATTTTTTAACTGTAAGTAATAAATTATGCGAATGAGACGGCAACGGTTAACCGAAGTTTGGGCCGTCCCGTACATTACATAATGGAAATTTTAGCCCATGCATAAAGATCCATTGATAGAAACGCGACGGGATGTCGAATAGAAAAACAATATTTTACTAACACAAACGTGTATTAGTGACTTTTTTCGAATATAAAATCTTAAGAAATTTGATTTTTCTTGAATTTCTCCACTCTTTCAATGTCGAACTTCAAATTATTTCGAATAAAAAGTATTGAGGAGAACAGTTCAAAATGTCACTGATAAAGTCCAGAAATTTTAACTTTTATCTGGCAACATTATTATTATAAAACGCAATTTTTTAATGTTAAAATCAATTTTCCAAATTGTATTGCTTTGACTTTTTTGCGTTTTCTTTCGTTGAAATTAATATCTAAAAAGTTATTACGACTAACAATTGCTGCTTACTCATTCGAGATGTTATAACAACGGAGGCACTTTCTTGAGTGACTATTCGTGTTTTAAAACAATCGTGTATGATATGCATTGTATTCGACAATATCTGGAAAATTTTTTAAGAAGCTATCGATATAGTTTCGTGCAGATATTTAATTATTTTATTCAAATTATAAATGCGCATTCTGTTGGCTTCTCAATGTACAGTACAAAACAACACTAGAAATTTCTCAACAATCAAAACAATTTTTGGATATGTTGTAGAGGGATGTTTGCTTTTGCATTTGTAAATTGACTAGGCTGCTGATATGTAAATGGATTCTGATCAACCAGTCAACAATTAATAACACCAAACATTTTTACATGGGATGGCCCAAAATTCGGTTAACCGTACAGCCGGTTATTACTCGTCCAACTACAACATGCGGCTGTTCCGAACCGGTTTTAATAGTTCGTAAAATGTATCTCGATTAACCGACTTTTGGACAACCCCTATAGTTAATTACAGTTACTACGAGTGTTAGTAATATGTGAAATATACGAAAATATAATCGTGGCAAATGTGGTTCTATACGTGTACGTTTAACAAAAAAATTAAACAGAATAAAATTGTGAAAAGAAACATAGAAAATGGAAGACAATTATCTTGGTCCTCGGTAATCTTAGAATTTAAGAATTAAAAAGATTAATATACTATTGAACCTTCGAAAATCGTCAAATTATATAAGTGCAGAAGCATACTATATTTATTTCGTATTTTTAAATGGTAAATAAAATATACCTATCTGGTAATGTCAGATGTGTCCTGGGCAGTGTCGTAACTTGCTTTTCACCTGTCCCGTGCAAGGTTTTAAAACGTTTCATTTTTGGGCTCTAATTTTTTGGGGAAATAATAATAATAATAAAACAATTGTTTATAAAAAAATTGTGCACACGAAATATATCTAAATAATTCACGTATATTTATAAACAAAATTATTATTACACCATACTTGACAATGTTTTTTTTATCAGGTCCATTCGAGATGCCCTTTGTCCCGAACCCTTTGCCGTGCATCTGTTGCACCAGTCTAGTTACGGCACTGACCGGACAATCCAAACCGATTCACTAATTCAAATAGAAGGTAGCCAGAAACCAGTTAACCGTGCTTTTAGACTTGGACGGCGATAGATTTACCTGCTTAGCAATTCTGTGAAAGTGTCCAAGCACTTTATACAAATGTATATCGACCAATTAAACTTGTTCCGGACAATTTTTGCAGAATATTTCAATGAGACAGAAATTTAGTCTTTACAATAGTTAACTGACTTTTGGTCCATTTTTATACGTTTTGAGAATATAAAATTCTATGAGGTTCCCCCCTTGAATTGTGTTTAGTCCACATATTTACTGAAATTTAGCAATTAATTAAGTTATATTATAATTAGATACTTTATCATTTTTCATTATTCCTAATATTGTACACTTATACGTTAGTCGAAATAGTAAAAGCACAATTTTAATAGCTTTTTATTTCAATGTATTCACATTGAAATAAAAACTTGCAAGTCTAAAAAGATTATTTTTGGGCTATAATAAGAATAATTAAACTAACGAATCTGGTCTTATGAAGGAAATTACGCTGCCATCTTATATTAATCTAATTCGGTTTCTGATTATCATCGATACCGGTGGTGGCCCCATTTAGTTTTAGACTAATTTCGTTAGCATAATCAATCATTTTTATTATAGCCCAAAAATAACTTAATAAAAATTAAGGGTTAATATTACCTATGGTAACTAAAATGGCGGCGCTTCGGTTAGATTAACTATATTTTTAGTAGAAGTTTCCTTTCTTTTTTTTTTTTTTTTACTTTGTTCAAGAACTACCGTGAATCAATAACTAGTGATGTTACACACTCGCCGGCCTGCCAGCAGCTCCCCTCCGGGAGATCTGTGAGCACGAACAGTCCGATGCGCGGCCATTTTAGTCACCATGGATAACATTAACCAAATTAAGGAATTAATTAATTGTGTTATTAAGAAACGTTTGAATTATTACTTACACAAATATATGTTTGTTTACTAAATTTCGATTAACATAATATTCTAAACTAACCTACTTTTGAAATTAGATATTATTTTCTCGTAAAGACGAATGTAAAAAAGTAACGAAATACCTTTGAACCAAGGTCCTAATATCAAGGTTATTTTCTCTAGTTTGTGCACGACGCTATCAATGTTAAAAAATGTCTAATGCTGTTTGTGGCTCTGACTTTTCATCTTCAACGAAAAGCTATCATGCTGATGTGTTTAGTACCTGGATGTAAAATTGGTTATAGAAAAAAAGATTGTGAAGCTTTAAAGAGTAATGTTCAAAAAAGACATTTCTTTAAAGTTAGAGAAGCATTTTTGGAGAAGTGGAATAGAACCAAGAAAGGATAAGTCTTTGACAACAAACTACCATGTTTATGATGTATATTTTGATCCAAGATTTATTTTAAAATCTTACAAACATAATATAAATGGCCAGAGTATTGAAATTGAACAAGAAAATGGGATTTAACCCGACGCAATTCCCACACTATTCTCAAACTGTCAAAATGCTTTTCAAAAACCATGCTGCCAACAAGAAAATGCTTTCTAACCAGTAAGAGATGAATGGCATTTCAAACATGACCCAAGCCTAGAAGCCCCGATAAATGATGATGGTAAATTAAAAACATTTTGTTTTGGCATTTCCAGGATTAAATAAAACCAACTGTTATAATATTGCATTTTTAAAGTATATGAATGTGAAAGCATAAAATAAGCTAGGATGGTTTACCTTCACTGACTTAAATGGATTAGACTACATCTTCCTGAAAATTTTAAAGTTGTTCTAGGTAAATAAATTTTGATATAATGGAATTAGAATAAAACAAATAGTAAACTACATTAAGTAAACTATGTTACATATTTATAATTTATTGGCTATCCACACTGATTAACTTTAAACAATTTTTAGTTTTAGGATCCTTAGCTGGGTTTGAGTATATACTATCAGCACCTACAGAATATATAAGTTCACTGCCAAGTTCAAATTCATTCACACCAGGACTACAGAAAACCAAGCTATATGCAATGAATTGGAAGATAAAACTTTATAAGACGATGATGTGGAAAAAGTATGCTGTAATGGAAAAAAGATTTAAAGCCATGAAGAAGGAATTGGAAGAACTAAAAGCACTATCTGAACAATTGCCCACCCAACATCATTTTTTTTTATTAAACATACAATACAAGCAACAATAAATAATCTTAATTAAAAAACATGCGATATAACTCAGACTGGATATCAGAAAGTTTACTTTTACGAATTTAGTCTCAGGAGCATACAAATTTTTAAGAGAGAATAAATACATGCCACTTTCAGACAGGACTATGTTGCAAAGATATGTCACATGCATAAATGCAAAGTTTGGATTGATGAACAACTGTTTGACTGTTTGTTAACTGAAGAAGTTAGTTAGTTGAACTTCCAGAACATGAAAGGAAAAATGTCCTGATGTGAGATGAAATCTCTACAAAAGAATATTACTTCTGATAAGTACAATGGCAAACTCATTGGCTTAACAAACTTTGGTGAATTTAATTATGAGGACTCTTCTTCAGGTAAACATAAAAACTAAAGCCTATGCTTTAGTTTTTATGTTCCAACCATTTTTAGATGGATGGGCCTAAATTATTGGAATGTTCTGTGTTAAAGGACAATTCCCAATATGTTCTGAGCAAAATGATCATCAAAGCTATTATATGCTTAAGGTAATATGGAGCTATTGTAAAGAGTACTGTAAGTGTACTCAGCTACAAATAAACAAGCCTTAAGTCTTTTAGGGATTGATGGGAGAAAAGAAAAGCCAAGATTTGCTTTCCCAAATCCAATAACCAATGAAGATGTACTTGAACTTATTGATGTGACTCACTACTTGAAATGTTTATTGAAAGTGAAAGTATTCAAGGTAAGATTACAAAAGCATAATTATGATGAATAAAAGTAACTAACTCACAATACTGAATTCGTTTGGTAAGTTTCCAGATGGTGTGCATTTACACCACTTTCAGGACATGGAAAAGAGAAAAAAGCTGGAAATACCTCAGGGTTGTACCAAAATTGATAGAGGAGCAGCTAAACCCAAATTCATTTCAGAGGATAACACTTCATCTTGTAGCACAGGTAAATACTTCATGCTAGTCCCATTTTGAGCTGGGTAATTATTAAGTTTGTATTAACTATTTAGCATTTATTATATTTTTAACTGTTCAGCAACACTGTTGCTACAAGTCTGCAATATTGTTTACAAGGTGTTAAAGATCTTGCAGGATATATCTTGTACAATAAAATTTGTGACTTTTTGGAACAGTTAATATATTAAACACACACATTAACAGAAAGCTATTAACTGAAGAGTTTCCCTGAGCTAAAGATAACATATTATACATCATACATTGCATATTTAAAATTAAATCAATTTAAGTTCTACATGTACTAAATCATTCTGGATGCTGTCACTTGGCTGGATTCATGGGAGAACTACATAGACAATTTGTCTCAAGAGAAGAAGCATCACTTTTTAAGTGTTGCTTCAAGTTGGCATTTTACACTTCACAGTGCCTTGGATCTTGCAAATACATTTTTGGATGAAGGCTTTGTCTATGTTTTAAATTCATGCTTTAGCCAGGATCATCTTGAAATAAGTAGTCATAAAACTGAATGTAGTAATGGCTAGGGTATTAAAATCTGAAGTTGAACATCAATATCTAAATTTAAATCAGAAGCATCATACTGCAGTTAAAAGCTATGAACATTTTTATTTTCCTGCTTTCTTAATATATGAAATTTTGCACTGTATTTTTTCTTCTATTTTTTGATATTATACATCAAGGAGGTGGAGGTTACCCTCTCCCAACTACTGTTCAGTTCTTCTACCTATATCAATTAATGTCTGTTTAAACCAGGTGCAGCCACCTAAACTAGGAACTATTGAGAATGGATCAGTTAATATGCTCATTAGGTTAAAATTTCAAGCAAGACAAAACAGGAATGTTACCATTTTGGAAGAGACAAAAAAGAAGCTACAGGCTATCTTCTGGAACCAAGAGCATACTTGATTCAGATCCATATTAGAGGACATGATTATGCTGTGGTTCCTACAACAGAAAACATTGTTTTTTACCTAGGGGTAATAATTTATTGTTCAAAAGATTATTGATGGAAAATAGAATGCATGCACTGGCGTATTAGTACAAGAAAGCCCGCATTGGGGTGCAGTAACTGTGCTAACAGCCTTAAGATCAAAGGAAGGTTTGATTTATCCTTCAAAGATTTTGCACAACTGAATACCAAAACTTGTTGCAAGTTGGCACACTTGCACTAATCTTCATATTTTGATAGAATAAAATGATAAAGAATAATTTGAAAACTTAAAATAAATTTTATCTATTTCAATTCCTGAAACTATGTACAATTAATTAATGATAGATTTATGCATTATGAATATTCTTATAGCAGGTTTAATACCAGCCGAAAGCAACAAATTAACCAATCCAGGTCCATTTTCAGAATGCAGATGATGTTGTTACTGTTGTATAACTACAGTACTGATCAATATATAACATAGTAAATAGTTATTGTTAAATTTTATTGCTTATTTTATTTTATACTATATGGACGTTATTAAAAAGTTGGCATAATAGATTTAATAAACAATTTATTCTTACGGGTGGAAATACTATGTTAGTTCCTAATTTTTATTATTACAAAAAAGTAGACTTAAATATTATAATTAGCAATATGTGGCATTAAAAAAAGAAAAGAAAGAAAAAAAAAAACAGATCTACATCAAATATTGATTATCAATAGTTTTGTATAAGTATTTCTTATTATTTAACATCTCCAACAGTGAATGAATGAATATATACAGTATGCTGAATGTGTGATACTTGTACCACCTGATGGTATTCACTCACAACAGCCTAAACTCCAGCAAAAATCCTTTATTTACACCAGTGATTCTCAAACTTTTTCGATCCACCGCCCCCTTTGATCCATAAAGTTATACCCAACGCCCCCTAACCCATTTTCTCTTGTGTGAGAAAAGGATTGGAAATATTCTCAGAAAAACTTTTCTATGAATCTCACACTTTGTGCCCTTACTGTACATTGTTCTCATCATCTGAAAACCATTAAACGCAATGTTTCCTCTTATCAGCCCCAATTTTGCCTATGGTCACCGTTCAATACCCTGCCTCTATCATAGATCTATTCATCACGCCAGAAGGGGGCATTATTGCTTACTTTGAGAAACGGTGAGCTAAAATAAAAGTCAATGTGTTAGAAATATTTAAGTTGTGACCTTCAATAAAAAATATATAAAATGTCAACATTTTATATATATTCCGTCTAATTTTTATATATAGAATTTGTCTGCCGTCGCCCCTCTATATTTCCTTAACGCCCCCAATTCTCTTTGAGCCTTCTACTGCCCCCCTGAAAGCCTCCAGCGCCCACAAGGGGGCGTTATTGCCCACTTTGAGAAACGCTGATTTACACAAACATTTTTGTCCACATTCCACTGATATCATCAGGCTGTAAATGTTTGATAAGTAAAAGATTTTTTGCTGGAATTTTGGTTATTGAGTAGGTAATTGATTACAATATATCCAGCATTTATCTGTTGTCTTTTCTACCTGATGGTGTTGGTTAGCAAAAATGCATTTGCACATAAACCAAAGAAATAAAATAACCTTGCCTAAATATACAGTTGTCTCATACAGCTGTTTGAGGAACTTCCTGCAGATTTTGGATACATATCTGAATACCAAGCAACTACATCACAACAGATAAAAAAAGTTTCAAGATTTAACAAAATAACAAAAATAGAGTTTTTATGTTTGAAGGCATATATATCTATTGTTATTACTATTATTAAACATGTGTTAACAAATTAGATTGATAAAAATTATTCAAAAATAATGAAACTGTTCCTTTGACTTCTTTATTCTTATGGGCATAGTCTACAGCACAAATAAGTTCCCATTTGCCTCAATTAGAACTGCATTTGTGACTATTTTTATAAAAATGCAAAATATAAAAATTTATATCAGGTTTCCTGAAGGTCCAATGGTATGAAAAAAATTGATTCAAAAGTGTAAAAGAGCAGACAGCTGGAATCCTGATTCTTCTTATGTTTGCTTTAATCATTTCACAGAAAATGATTTTAAGAGAAATTTAAAAGATGAGTTATTAGGTATGTCAGCAAAACTTAAACTGAAGAAAATTCTATTCCAATCAGTCAGTTTAGGAAATATAGAAAATGAAAAATACTATTAGTCAGTCAAATCAAAGAAGGAACCATTTATTAGAAAGAAATTTTAAAAAACTGTTAAATGTAAATAAACCAGAAGAATCTCTTAGATCTGATGATGAATGTAAAATATTAGAGAATCTTAATTTTAAATGAAAACATGAAAATTCTGTTTTAAAACTGAAGAATTAATTTACTAAAATAAGAATGCAAGTAACACAAAAAAACTTTAAAATTTTGGAAAAGTAAAACTGTCCTCATTCAAAAAGAATGTAGAAAAAAATGAATGTAAAAGTAAAATAGGTTATTTTATTTATTCATACTTTTACAGATGATGTTGCATAGACAAAAGAACAGCTACCACCCAAAACAACAATTAAATAACAATACCTGTTAAAAAAAGAAAAGGAAAGGAAGAGGAGAAACTTTAAGAATATAAAATTTTTTTACATAAAAATTTGAATTTATGTAATTTAAAATATGATTTATATTCAATTTTCTTGGTTGCCTTCTGATGGCTGAAGAAAAATGATTTACAGTCGACCCCCCTATAACGTGCGTTCCTATAACGGAAATTCCTGTAACGTAGCGAAAAAATTGTAGCAACATACGTATAAAGGAGTTCCTAAAACATCGTTGCCGACTCGTTTTGCGACAAGATTGATAGAATCTGGACCAATAGTGGATGAGCAGCCGAACTACTTTCCTCCGCCCTGCGCCACGCTACGGAGCGGCTAAATTGAGTTTGCTATCGTCTGTACAGTATTATATATAAATTA